TCTATCTATCTATCTATCTAGCCTGATATTTGATCAATAACTGTATTGATTGTCCTCCACAGACGGCTGAGCTGAACAAAGATGTGTCTCTGAGCACCGAGACCCTGCAGACGTCCAAGTCTGAGATCTCAGAGGTCAAACGAACATTACAGTCTCTGGAAATCAAACTGCAGGCTCAGATGAGCAAGGTGATGCAAACAATCAATAAATCTATTAACTCAATTATATGTATTGATATAAACTGTCAGTCACCAAAGATCTTCCATATATTTGTTAATATGAAACTGACAGTCACTGTTATCTTCCTCTGGAGCAGAAAGGAGCTCTGGAGGCGAGTCTGTCTGAGACCAAATCCCGCTACGCCAACATGATGCTGGGCTACCAGGGGCAGGTCGGGGCTCTGGAGGAACAGCTGGCCAACCTGAGGGGAGACCTGGAGAAACAAAGAGTCCAGTTCACGACCCTGCTGGACATCAAGAACAGACTGGAGCTGGAGATCGCTGAGTACAGGAGGCTGCTGGACGGAGACACTGAGAGGTGAAAACTGTCTCTAACCACAGTCCATAATGTTTACCTGATTTAAAATTAAATGAAACAGTGATTTTATATCAGAATATTTAGTTTTAAAACAGGACAAATGTTCAGCCTCTACAGATTTTGAGGCACCAAATGCAAATGTATGGAATTATTTTGGCGCTAACACAAATTTAATCTAAATTCAGTTTCAACTCAGAAACTTTTGAGAAACTGAAAGAATTATCTATTTAATTTCAAACCATAAGTTTCAAATTCTACAGAAGACGATTGGTACCACGTGTGGAAATAATAGTAAATAAATAAAATCTGAGAAAATGTTAAAATTTGGTGATATACAGAAAAGGCATTATGAAAAATAAAAGTAACATATGTGGAGGAAGATTAGTGCCATGTGTTTCTTTTTGTTTTGTTTTTTTACTTTAAACTCAAAATTCAAATGAACATGCAGTTGAATCTCTTTTTTTTTTTTAAACTTTACATCATATTTATGTTTATAATAATTAAAAACATCAGTTTCATTCTCAGAAAACAAACAAACAACTGTCTCTGTCCTGTTTCTGCAGCACCCCCGTCACCACCACCACCAAGACCACCCGGGTGGTGACCGTCATGCAGGAAGTGGACACCAATGGGAAAGTGATCAACACCAAATCCAGTTAGACCAGAATCAAAACCTCGAACGGATCACATCTGTAAACTGAGTCTGAGGATCAATAAAAATAAAAAGTCTGCCTTTGATTCTGTGGAGTTTTTATTTTCACACTTTATTAAAGACTGCACTGAGGGTGATTTGTGATTGATTAGATTATAATACAGCAGGATTATCAGCTGATAATCAATCAGAGCTGGGTGAGATCAGTTACTGCTGCAATTGTTGGTGACTGCCGCCCTCCTGTGGCCAATCTAAGAACTGCAGCTCTTTCAAATAGGATGCTGTGGCTACAACCGCTAACACCGGGAAAACAAGACTGAATAAAACACAAAGAACAGAGTTTCTGGCTGACAGGAAGCTGCCCTCAACCACTGATCAGGAGTCAGTCTGCAGCAGGTCTGAATGATCCTCAGAGGAGGTTTAATGTTCAGCTAAAACAGACAGAGAGAACCAGAGAATGAGGGACTCAAACGTTCACAAACATTCCTTCAGAGCAGCTGAAACTTAATATATATACACACATATATATTAATATATGTGGGGGGGTTGCAAGGTCTTCTTGATTTAAACTACATAGTAGGTCTATATCCCAGTATATGGTTCAGTTCTATGATGTAAAGTCAATGTAAATTGTCTAATAGAACAATGGGCAAATGTCAGTCACTGAATTTGTCAAAAAAGAATCTTATTTAGTCTGTTTGATTGTTAAAAATTATAAAAGTACAGAATATTCTATAAAGATTGCTGCTCAAAATTCAACCAAATCTCTTGTTTTACACAAACTTCCTGCAGTTACTGAGTTCACTGTTCAGATTTAATATAATATATCATATAAAATATCTATAAAGTGTCACTGAGTCAGTTTATTAAATGATAGAAAAGGTCCCTTAATGAAGAAAGGTCAGAGAAATATGATGCACAAAGCATTAATAAAGGTACAGAGGATGAAGCAGCTGTCCAACAGGGTAGTAAACCAGTTTCGACAGGTGGAGATCTTCGTGGTCCTCAGGAAGCCGACAGGTATCAGGTTTGTTGTTTATTTAAGTAAGAACACCGTACAGTCTGCCAGAACTAGCACCAACACCGGACCCAGGAGACCCAGAAGACCGCAGGAACCAGAAGACCCAGGAGCATAAGCAGCCCCATCAATTTTTCTTCCCCATATCCTGACTGGATCTGAGGACAGGACCAAGACACAGCGAGCATTGCCTCTGCTGAGGTTTCATTTTTTACATTTTGTGTTAATAATGAATGAATTTTAAATTAAAAAATAATTATAATAATAATAATAAATAATAACATAACAATAACCAATAACAAAACTGCCCTCCGCCTGGTGCACCAGTGAGGAAACTGCCGGATAATCAAAAATACTCTAGGACTACAGTTCCCAGAAGCCCCGGTGGGTCACATGGTCTAATATTGCCTCCACTCCCAGTGGGGCCTGTAGGTCCTGGGGGGGGTTCATGGACTGGTTTTATATATTTTTGCAAAGGTTCACTTTTACCCAGAAGGTGAAACTATTGTGCCTCCACACCCTCCTCACACCACCGTATCCTCCTCCTACTCCTCACCCCCTCCTCCTCCCTCCTCCCTCAACACCACTCTCCTCCTCCTCTCACCCCTCCTCCTCTCCTCCTCCTCCTCACACCACCTCCTCTCCCTCACCACCACTCTCTCCTCCTCCTCCTCCTCCTCAGGTCTCTCTCATCCAGGTATTGTCGCTCCCTGCTGGTCAGACGATTTATTGCATCGTCTTTCAGAAGTCAGTTGCACGGTTCACACAATATAATATGAAGTATATTTATATGAAGTATATTTAAAATATATAAGGCACAGAAACAACTACTTATGGAAAACTTAAGAAAGCTAAAACGAAGAGAGATAGAATCCTCCTGAGGCGTCAGAGGAGGAGGAGGAGGAGGAGCCAGTGGAGGGTCTGGAGGATGGATGTGGGCAATATTTTTTTAATGATTTAATGTTATAGTTTACATTTGATATATTTATAGTTTTTACCAGCAGCATTAACCAGCCTGTCCCACAGAGTGTAACTACAGAGCCTCAGTGTTCAGATCAGCTTCAGCTCAAAGTGACAGAACCAACCAGCTGATCTATTAAAGCACAAAATAAAAGCAGCATTCGTTCTTCCTGAACGCTGTGGTGGAGCCTGAAGTGTCCACGAGCCAACAGGATGAGGTTTTCTGTGATTGGTCTTCATGGAATATGGGTGGGGAGATAAAATAACACCCATCTGAAAATGTCCCAGTTAAAGTCCAGGTGAAATGGAAAATATAATTTTAACCCTTTAAGGTCTCATCCTCGCTTATATTGTTCCCATATTAAACAATTTATGACAAAACATTCACAAATAACTCAGTTTATTTGTATTTTTATATCAGAATCCAATCATTGTGTCTTCCTGTGTCAGCATGATTTGATTTCAACCAATAATATCCTGGCATTCACCCGTCAGTCCTACAAACCAGCAGAGGCACTGGGTTCAGGTTGTGGCAGTCTGAATATTTACGGTTTATATGAGACAGGACAGGAGCCGCTGTAGATCTCTACACAATTATTACTGTATTTCACTTCACAGGAGACATTTCACTGTAGAACTTTTACCTTGATATTCTAAGCACATTATGTCGTTACTGTACTTTATAATCAGGTAACAGAACTTTACTTTGAGGACACAGTGTGTTGATTACCAGTGACACTGGACCTTATTAGAATATAATGTAAGAAACAAAGTTAAACACGAGGTTAACGTTGTAAAACAGTCGCAGTTTGGTTTGATGTTTGAGTGAAAGTCAGTTCTATGATGTGTTTGTTTAAATCAATGTAAAGCTCCAGTGTGTAACACTGAGGATTCATTACTGTAATATAATATCTATAGGTTGTTTTCATTAGTGTTTAATCAGCTGAGAATAAGAATCATTGTGTGTTTGTTACTTTAGAATGAAATGTTTTTATCTACAGAGGCAGCGGGTCCTCTGCCATGTTAAACCACCATGTTTGTACAGTAGCCCAGAACGGACAAACCAAACACGGGATCTATGGCCTTTCACCTTTTCCACCAGTTTTGTGGCCACCGTAGTTTCTCCTTCGCACTTGGAGCAGGAAGGTGAGGTAAAGGAGCTGCAATCAGAAACTATTGTAAACCATTTAATACCAACAAATCCAACACTGGACCTTTAAGTAAATGACCTCAGTGCTGTAACGTTATTCCCTGTCGGTATCAGACACTGTGTTCGATCCCGGTCCGCCTGTTGAGCCCGGTTCTGTTGCCCGCTAACGGCAGATACAGTTAGCAGCAGCTAGTTAGCCAGCAGCATCAGAAGAGAGAAAGCGACGCAGCATTAGTAAAAAGTACTTTTATTGATTATCAGGAAACTTTAAAATACTGTTAAGAACACCTGTTAAAATAAAGTTTAAATTAGTGGTTTCATGATGGGATACGAGCTTTGGTCTCGCATTGACCACCTTCACACAGACTGTTTACTTGTAATTGGGTATTTCTGCATTGTGGTATTATTGGATGTGAGTGTGTGTGAATCGTGACAGTGATTCAGTGATTAACCGCTGTGATGACATCTGTTAATACCACACGCATTCTGACTATAAATTAAGTTGGATTATTGAACGTATGACTCGTCAAAGTGAATTAGAAGAGATCTAAACTTTAGAAAGAGGAGCTAGTTAAAGTCTATTAGAGGTCAGAGAGCTTGCCATAAGATGGATATGTTACTGGCAAACAGCCACGTTCCTTTCATTGATACTGAGTTAAACTGTGTTTAAAGTCCTTCTGGGTGTTTTTCTACCTCTGATACAAACAACCTACTTTCTCTGTGTGGATACTTTGATGCCGCTCCCTCATATCAGATATAATTTCCCGTTTCCCTTTATTAGCGTTTGCGGTTTGTTCTCTTCTCTTCTTTCTTTGGCATGAATGATGCTGGAGAAGATCCAACAGCCTGCGGGTGAGAAACGAGTTTACAGGCTATGTGTGATGGCAATCTGTCAGTGAAACCCTGCAGAGATCGTTCCTCAGGTGCAGTGAACTGTGAGCACTCATCACTGACCTATGAATAGGATTTAAAAAGATATAGAAAACCTAAAGTGCCATAAAGTGCTGAAACGTCTCATCTACTCAAACTAGTTGTGCCCCTGCAGGGTCCTTCACCTTTATTTCATTGAGCTCGATAGGATTGATCGTGTAGGTTAGTTCATTATTAATATTAGCAGAAAAAACTGTAAGACAATAAGAAGTAGGAGTAGCCTATGAATCTAATGTTAGCTCCTGCAGTTAGCATTAACTTCTCTCGACAGTCTATGAATCTTATAAAAGTCCGTAACTGTGGGAATGTTAGCTTTAGCATTATTAGCTTCTGAAAATGTTGCAATCAGCTCAAGCAGCTAACGGTAGTTTATCAGTCCAGTCCTAGCTCCAGCAGCTAATATTAGCATTTTTCTATTAGTTTATGAGACTCTGACATTAGCTCACATAGCTAACTGAAGCTAATGTTTGTCCAAATAGTTAACTGTAGCAGGTCTCTTTGCTACTGTGGGTTCTCTCAGCACACAATCTGGCAACACTGGTCCGTCGTACCACACAACTTTTATCTCTTTATCTCTCTCTTTATCTCTCTCTCTTTATCTTCTCTCATCATATCTCTCTCTCATATCTCTCTCTTCATATCTCTCTCTCTCCTCTCTTCTCTCTCTCCTCCTCTTTAGAATATCTCTCTTTTATATCTCTCTCTTTATTCTCTTCTCTCGTCTTTATATCTTCTCTCACTCTAAATCTCTCATCTCTCCTCATATCTCGTCTCCTCTCTCCTCGTCTCTCTCCTCGTCTCACTACTGCAATAAAGCGAAGAGAGTGATATACTCAATGGGAGTACCAGCGTGTGATCATCAACTCACTGGGCTGCTTTCACATCCTTCCCAAACCTGCAGCGGTAGTGAAACCACACCCACCTCGCCATTAACTTATCAATCTCCTATC